GTCGCAGCCTTGGCGCGGGGCCCAGGGGGTGCCGCGCAGGGCTCTATATTTCTATCTTTGTGTGTGTGTCTCTCTCTGGTCAAATTAAAATGAATGAATGAATAAATAAGATGGAATTAAATAATTCTTTGAGATCAGCAGTTGGCATATGGCTATGTCACTGGACTCCCATGTAGTCAACCATGGTTCGAGTCCCGGACCTGGTGGCTTAAACTCACGCTGGGTGCATGTGCATGCTTGCCAAAGACACCAAGAGGAGAATGGAGGAGAAGGGATTGCGGCGTGGCCATCCCCCCTGGGGGGTGATTTCTGTCTCTGTCTCTCTCTGTCTTTCTGGTGAGTACACGTGCCCTATAGCAAAAACCTCTTAAAAAAAAAAACACTAAAAAGCAATGAGCATTTATTTAGTTACGATAGTATGGATTTGCTCTTTGAGATCGACAGTTCTCCCGCTGGCTTTGATTGGGCTCGCTCATGCATTAGCTGTCAGTTGTCAGGTCGGCTGAGAGGCCAGCTGGCCCTCACCTCAGTAGTGATTGGCAGCTATTAGCTGGAGCATCTCTGTTCTCCTCCATGCTGCCTCCACTCCTTTAACAGGCTAGTTCAGGTTTGTTTCCACGGCGTTCTCAGCTAACAGATGCAGCAAGAGAGCAAGCCCCAGTGCACAGGTCATAGGTCAACCCAGAATCCAGAGACTGAGAAATAGACTTCACCTCTTGACAAGAGAATCTGCAGCTGCATATGTAAGGGTATGGATCTAGAGAGGGAAGGAATTGTGAAACAAGAATGTAACTGCCCTAAGGATTGGCGGTCTGAGCACTGTCACTGTGGATAGAGAATGGTGAGAGATGAGTATGCAGGCCCTCGTTCCTATCAGACCTAGGCAATATCAAATCGGGTGAGACTATGGCTTTGTAATGATGCTAAGAAATGTGTGATGTGATGATCCTAAAATAGCTTCGTGCTCATGGAATTTCCCTGCGGTGTTACCGAATTTCATATTTCTCTATCGCTTAGTCTCACTCAGTGTTACTGTTTCTGAAATGAATTTTTGTACAGTGAGTTCCATCTCCCCCCCTCCACTGATTTCTAGTATCGTTTCAAAGATTCATCCTTAGAAAAGACATGTTATTACCGATGGGCTTAAAAAAAAATACTAAAATGCAAAGAAAGTTATGCTAACCCAGAGAGGAAAAGTAGACATTACCCATTTAAAAGATACAAATAAGAAAAATGTTAATGGAATGATGTAATTTGGCTTCTTTAAGTATAAGTCAGCAATTCCCAAAGCATGGTCCGAGGACTACTAGGGGTTCCTGAGAGCCTTTCAAGGCATCCATGTGGTCAAAACTAGTTTCATAATATTAGGTTGTTATTTACCTTTTACCCCCTCATTCTCTCAGGAGTATAAGTGGAATGTTCTAGAAGGTATACGGTGTGGGATTATGAAAATTCAGATGGATAATGGGATGTTTGCTTATATTTTCTTGTACTTAATAATTTCTCAGTTTATGGGAACCAGCAGTTAGCGTAATGGCTATGTCGCTGGACTCCCACGTAGTC